TGGTGGTGGGCGCCTGTAGTCCCAGCTACTCGGGAGGCTGAGGCAGGAGAATCGCTTGAACCCAGGAGGCAGAGGTTGCAGTGAGTCGAGATCGTGCCACTGCACTCCAGCCTGGGCGACAGAGCGACACTCCGTCTCAAAAAAAAAAAAAAAGAAAGAAAACCTTCTATCCCTAATACCCTGTATCTCGGTGATCCCCAGTAGTCACTACTGTTAATGCTGTCTTAGGTTTTCTTCCAAATCTTATTAATACCTTTGCATATTATGTTTTTATTTATAGTACAGATTTTCATCCATTCAACAGAAGCTTATGGACTGCCTTTTTAGTTTATTTTTAAAGAATTCTTCTAGCTTTAAATAAAAATTGTATGTATTTACAGTGTACCATGTGATGTTTTCATAGATGTATAATGTTGTGAAATGATTATCACAATGAAACTAAATTAACATATCCCACCTCACGTAGTTGTGTGTGCGTGTGTGTATATGTTTATTTTGTGCTAAGAATATTTAAGGTCGGCCAGGTGTCGTGGCTCAGGCCTGTAATCCCAGCACTTCGGGAGGCCGAGGTGGGCAGATCCCTTGAGACCAGGAGTTGGAGTCCAGCCTGGGCAACATAGTGAGACCCCATCTCTGCAAAAAAATAAAAAAATTAGCCAGGCACAGTGGCACCTGTAGTCCCAGCTACTTGAGACGCTGAGATGGGAGGATCACTTGTGCCTGGAAGGCAGAGGTTGTCATGAGCCGAGGTCCTGCCACTGTTCTGCTTTCTAATTCTATGAGTTCCACTTTTTTTGACTCTACATATAAGTGGGATCATGAAGTATTTGTGTTTCTGTGCCTGGCTTACTTCCCTTAGCATAAATTCATCCATGTTATCACAAATGACAGGATTTTCTTCTTTTTAAAGGCTGCATAGTATTCATTATGTATATAAATATACATATATATACCACATTCCTATATTTCACATTTTCTTTGTCCATTAGTTCACTCTTAGGTGAGTCCACACTTTGGCTATTATGAATAATGCTGCAATGAGCATGGTGATGCAGATATCTCTTTGACATAGTGATTTCATTTTATTTGGATATATACCCAGAATATATGGTATATATGTATATATGGTATATATACATATATGATGTATATTGTATATACTATATGGTTTACACTGTAGTTCTATTTTTAATTTTTTGAGGAGCCTCCATACTGCCTCCCATAATGGCTGTACCAATGTACATGCTCACCAACCATGCCTATTTTGGTTTTGACTTGTTTGCAGACCCCTCTAGTTGTCTAGGTTCTGAACTAGGTTTGCCTGTTGCTCTCACCCTTGCCCCCAAAACCACAGGTTCACGGATATTTTCCTGCAAGGAAAAGTTTGTTTATTTTTATTTTTGTTAATGGTTTGAGAAGGGGAGAAGAGCTCTTTACCTAAACACCCAAACCTTTCTAAGCCTATCCTTTGTAAGCACTGTGTGGTCTAATTATTGGACCTCTGTGCTTATGATTCTATAATACCTCCTCTTAAACAAGATTAGTTTGCTGCTACTTGAAAGATCTTGGCCATTACTACTTCAAACTTACGTTGATGTCAGATTTATATTTGAGTAAGATGTATGTAATTCTTGAAAATAGAGATTCCCTTTAAAAGAGAACTAAGGCCGGGCACGGTGGCTCATGCCTGTAATCTCAGCCCTTTAGGAGCCGAGGTGGGTGGATCACCTGATGTCAGGGGTTCAAGACCAGCTCAGGCAACGTGGTAAAACCCCATCTCTACTAAAAATGCAAAAATTAGCTGGGCGTGGTGGCAGGTGCCTGTAATCCCAGCTTCTCAGGAGGCCGAGGCAGGAGAATCTCTTGAACCTGGGAGGTGAAGGTTGCAGTGAGCTGAGATTGCCCCACTGCA